TGTGTTGCTGTTAGTACTATTACAAGTATTTGTGTACAAGTGCAACAATGAATGGGCGCTGACCCCCGCAACCGGGGGTCAGCGTCGACCAGGCTTCTGCAGCCTTCCCATCTGGAATGGTGCCTCTCTCCTCCTCTACTCCAAATGAAGCATTTTCCAGAAGAATGTCCACTTAGGTCTCGAATAAATCTATATGAAATGTTATGTTTACGAATTCATGGATAATAAATAAATGTTTGCAATATTATGATAATGAGTGATTTGCTTTTTCAATTGATTGTCGTTTTACCTTACCAGCAAAGATGTCTGGGTGGTGTGCCGAACCCCAAGCGGTCACCCTGAATGCGATCACATTGCACTCATCCGCGGAGTTATCGCACATAATTATTCTCACACCTATGGTGCGAAGATTTGGCTTTGTACCACTATTTACCACCCGAAGAGATTCTAGAAATCTACAAGCCGTCGGTTTACAACCTATTTTAATTCATACAGTCATCCCGAACACCCTCAAACCTCATATGTTTCGAATTTGCCTGCATCACCTATCGCCCAGCTGATATCATGCTGTTGAGCGGCGCCACCAAGCTCACCACTCGTGCTCGTCGCGTGCCAGAGTGCTCAACTGAGTCCTCCTTGCTGGAGGGATATTCCTCTCATTCAGAGCCTTGAAGAAATCAGAATACGGGACAGGCCGTTATCCGGTGTTAGCTTGACGATTCAATTGTGACCACTCTGGCCTACGATCATTACAAAATTGCAGAAGTGCCAGCCCAATTTTTTGTGATCCCTTGAGGCGGCGTTTCTGCCAAAGAACTTGTTCTAACCAGGAAAGCATGATGATTAGAAGTGGCTATATGCAATGAGGCCTACGTGATGGATGTGCTTCTGGAAGCTGGTCTCAAATCTGCTTTTCTAATCTGCTCATCCATTTTCTGAACGGAGTTGTGGAAACAGCAGCGGTCTTGGACCAGGCTCACGGGCGAGAAGTCGTGGGACCGATTCTCTGACGGGTGATTCAGCCATAAATTTACCCTCTAGAATATTTTTAGTTTTAGGAACACGAATGTGACACCTGTTGCTTCATAACCATCTGTCAAGTTTTATTTAAGGGTTCGTTGGCAAGTAGGGCATCAACTTGTAGAAATCTCCTCGCAAACTTTTTGTACGGGTAACAGAGGGTTGAACGTAACGTATTGAGCCTCTTTCAACTATCCTGTCCCCAGGCAAAATGTAGAACCACTTAGAGAAGTGATCCTATGACCTCTCGCCTGAGAGCCTTGACCACTTCCGCTGCTCTATTTTGCTTCATATCTCCGTTTTGAACAGAGTGGCAAATTTCGGAAAGGTTCCAGATAAACGTTCCGAAACGTCGTACGGCTACTTTGACTGTCATTCTTTCCTGGTAAGTTACTAATTCACAATATGCTTTAGCACAGCCGATGAAGGTGAGTGAGAACCTAATCTGAGCGATTTCTACAGACTCTTCTTTTTGCTGCACTGCCGGCCAACAATTCGTATTCTTTGGCAAGAACCACACCAAGTGATCCTCGGGCATGCCTTTGGCCATGCATTTTCGTGCTGCCCGTGGGCCGGCCGTAGGGACAACTAGTCTATCTAATGGCTAGTCGCCGTTTGAAGTCGACACTCCTACACTCATTGGAACTTTCAGATTGTATCGACACGTCTTACTGTTGTACCATTGGCGTCCTTCATTGATATTGAGAGGTTGTGGAACTTTGGATTTATCGCCGAAGCATCAATGTCATGATGTTAGTCACTAATATAGAACAATGCTGTCTATCTTTGCTAATGAAATCCAGTCGATTTGCTCCTCCATGTCATCGCTACGATTTCCCCAGTTCTCAGGTCGCTCGCTCTAACAGTGAAATAAGTGCCATCGTCGGTGCTGTCAATATGTACCACAAAGTGGAGTGCTCGGGTTCAATATCCTTAGTTTCGCTTGTAGTGTTAAGTTTAGCGTATTTCTTTGCTCTCTTCCCTTTTTCACTTGAGTCTATCCGGGCACTTATCGTTAGTTCTGCAACTGATGGCGTATCTTCGATGTAGTAAATAATTAAGAAAATGAATAATTATATAGGTAAAGCTGAAAATCATTGGCGAGCGTAAACGCTACGGAATAATACCTAATACATTGCGCTTATTGGACCTAATTTCAACAGAAAAAATGAGAACCCTCGCAATATCTAGAAATTAGTGCGGTTTCTAATCAAGACAGAAATCGAATTTCACTGCGATTAACTTGCTAGCAATTCTTCGAAGTAGTCACTTCAGGCTAGTAATTACTCTCAGACCCTGGGCACTGCTTTGCTTGAAGCTCTGTATCTTATTAGGTATTCAAAGAACTCGTCCACTCTAACAGTATCGCTATTGCTGCGGTAGATTACAATGCAGCTGGCGTGTTGATGAGCCGTCAGGGTCAAGGTGATCAGCATAACGCAAGGTTAAAAGCGAACCTTTGAAGTTTCTGTGATAGAATCGATTTATAATCGTTGAAGCGATCGCACGTTTTCAATTGGAAAACCCTAGCTCCCCAATTCCCTCTAATGATTGGATGTACGGGGAATAATGAAATGAATTCCTACTGATTCACTGGATCTGAATCATGCGTCGCTGAGCACTCACAAAGACTGAATGACTAGTATTGTAATGAAAGGAATCTGTACTGCATCATAAGTTTGCGTAACATGTTACAAGGTCCGTAAGCTCGGCAATAGAGCCTTAGTAAATTTTCATAATTTGGAACGCGAAACGTGTTATGCTACATATCTCATCCAAACCGCTTCATATGCTTCGGGAAGGAAAATGTTGGGCAAGACCTGGTTACCCCACAATTAGTTTAGCATCTCAGATGTCGGCAAAACCCAATCACAGAATATAGTAGGACTTGTGCCTGTTTTTTATGATCAATGTGAAAAGTCATACCCGTCCTATTATGTTGTAAACTCACCAGGAAAGTCTATCAAGACATGGAGCGCTTTTTCGGAACGGTCTCTTGCCTGTTATACGGGCACGGTGGGGTATGAAAGTGAAGATCATTTTTTTGAGCGGCTCTGGGATCGGCAGAAAAAATGGCAGAAAATTTCCCGAGAAGTGAAGCCTTTTCCATTTCTACAAACTCTACAGCATTGTACCGTTGAAGGGAGCATTTTCAACGCTTTTTTGTTTACTGTATGAGCTCAGACATATGTGAGCCCAACATAGTGGAAATCAAAGAACCGCGAACATTAGTTTTTCAGTGGAAATCAAACCATAAGCCTTGGATCGGACATTTTTTTCCCAGAGCCATTTAAATAATTATACAAAGTTTAGTGCTCGAAGCGTGTACACATCTCTATAACATGCAAAAACTGGTTCGAAAAAGCGATCCATGTCCTGATTGACTTTCCTGTTCAGGGATATTCAGTGACATTAAATGAAAAAGAAGTTCCTGGAGTTCAAAATCGCGCTCCACGATTGTTAGTAAGTACACCTACTGCAAGAAGATACTATATACGTAATACACCGTCCTCTGCACACCCCATGGAGTTTTGTCCGCCATCGCTGGTGATTGATGTGTTATTTGCAGCGCTCAAATCGCATTTTATAATCTTAATTTTCTGACTGTATATTGAGAATCTAGCGGCTATACGAAGTTATTACGTGTGAAAACCTATGATGATTATTTCCATTGTTCTCTGCCGTGGTTCCAACCATTTGAAACTGCTGATTCTGATGCCAATGATGAAGAACTCCGGCCGAATTTTGCAGACGGTTCAAAGGAAGCCCTTTTGCTGCACTGGTCCAGGTTATTTCCCGGACGCGCGTCTTCTGATTCGCTCACTTTTTGAAATACGATGCGCAGCAGCACTTAAAAGGCACACGTTTTTGAAAAGTTGAAAAGGTGCAAAAATCAGGCGATAACGACTCGGTCACTGCAAAACAAAAACCGACGGTATCGCCAATTTTGCTGAACGGTGACGAATGGTCATGGGGTTATGCAAAATATTCTGACTAATGAGATTAATCCCACCTATTTGTCAACACATGTGGAATTTTTGTCCCGTAATACGTCCCAATTCGGGGCTCGTAACTGCTAAACAGCGCTCATTTC